ATAGTGGTTGGTTTCCTGAAGGAATTAACAAAAAGAAACTCATGCCCATTTCATTATGAAGTTGTAGATCAAGGTTGTGTGGTGGCTCACAGATCACTTGGAAGCAACATGTAGGCTTGAAAAATGAACCATTCCTTCCTGGGTGAAATTTAGACTAGTCCCTTCTATCATAATTATCGACAGATTTAGATTGAAGTGATTGTGGGACACATTGTCCTTAAAGATATTCAGGGACGTGACCACGAACGACTGATGGAAATGACTGAAACCAGCGCAGTTCATCATCACAGCCCCCAAAACAGCTGAGATATGCAAAAATGCTAGTTTGATCCAAAAGGTATAAATAGCACTGAAGGGGGAGGCTGCACGGGGCTTGCAGACTGCTGTGTTTGAGGAACAATTTGACAGAGACAGAGCAAGATGATGATAACTTGGAAAAAGGATAATTTGTCATGATTACCTCTCCACACCCCCTCCTCCCTAGAAAGAATAGCTTGCACCCATTGGAATTCATGTGTATAGGGTGGAGTGGGCAAATTGGCTTTTGTAACAAAGAAAACAGATCATTTTATCTTTCCCTTTTCTGGGTCGACACTTTGGTGGCAGCAGATTACGAAGGTTCTGCTAAAAAGACGTGTGCTCAAAGGGTTTCTCTGAGGATTTGGACATTTCAGTTTAAGTAGTGTCTTTGTTAGGAAGTGCCACTCCTAAATAAATGCAAGTGCTTCAGGTATATTACAGCTTAAGTAGTCACCAGACAATGTGACCTTCTCCACCAATTTTTCTCCCAGTGCATGATGTGCCCAATAAATATAAATAATGCTAACTGCTGTCATGGATTTGAAGATAAATCCTGAAATGTTTGTTGCAAAAATTTTGGGACTGCAGATATGCTCAGTGGATAAGAATGCTTGCTCTGAAAGAATGAGGACCTGGGTTCAAATCTCTAGCACCCACTTAAAAAGCTGTGCATGGCTGCAGGCACCTGCAATCCTAGCATTGAGGGGGTAGAGACGGGGGATCCTGAGAGCTCCCTGGCCAGCGAAGCTAGCCCCAAATGGCGTGCTTCCGGTTCAGTTAGAAACTCTGTCTCAAGGCAGCAAGTCAAGAAAGTAATAGAGGGAGATAGATGAGGTCCCACTCTGACCTCTGCAGGGGTGCATACATCCGCACTTTCATGTGCATGTACTATGCACAAAGACATAACACACAACAGCAATAACATTTTTAAATAGCCTCTCAGTTTTCCTTTTTTAAAGTAACATTTGCTATTTTGAAAAAATAAAAGCACATATGCAACGTGGTATTTTCAGAAATATGGAAAAGTTTAAGATTATAGACTGGATGTGACCAATAAGCCCATCATCCTGTGTATTCAGCCTCCCTGAGGACCTTGGATGCTTTCTCTTGACACTGGGACAAATGTGCCTTTCTCTGTCCTGCCTCTTCTCTCCTGGCCTGTCTTCACCATCACCCTTCCTCATTCTTCTGTATCTCCATTTGCATCTAAGACTTTGGTTCATCGCCTCTGGAAAACATAGGTATGTTTTCTTTACACCAAAACTTGTTGGATCATAAGACTATTACAGGATAATGACTCCATTGAACTGCCAATAGAGGATCACTTTAGAACGGTGTTTGCATATTCCTACCCTGGAGGAAGATATTGTCTCCTTAAATCCCTGACTCCTGGGAACTGGGAGTGAGAACTGTGGCAGAAGGAGCAGGGCTGAAGCTAGGGTTGCTGTCCTTAGCAAATAAAGATATAGGATGTGCCAGAGTCTCATCATATACACACATTTTAAAACTTATGTTTGATCTGAAATTCAAATGAACCAGGCCTCCTGTGTTTTATTTGGCAAATTCTAGCTGAAACAGTACCTGAACCTCCAGGAAGGCAAGCGATAGTGAAATAAAGGAAGTCACTAGGGAAGTGGACCTCATCTCACTAAGGTGGATTCACAGGGTCCCTGTTCATCTGTAGTACTGGGTGGTCTCACTCCCTGGACCTCAGTGTGACCTGTTCAATCCTTTCTCTACCCTCCAATAGTCACTTCTTCCTGGTAATTTGTCACCTGAAAACTCCATTCATCACCCCTACCACAGCTGCCCAGTACAGTCCTTTGTTGGTAGTCACCTGAACCACTGTGGTGCTTTTGAACTTCTGTTAAGTTCTCCTCCCAGCTCTTATTCAGATCTTTGGCTGGGAGAGTGCATTCTAATCACAAATCTAGTCATTTCCTTGTGCTTAAAGACTTTCTTAAAAGTTCTGAATGTGCTTAGGATACAGTCTCAGTTCTGAAAGTTCTGGCCAAACCTTCCAGATGTGACTTCTTCCCTGCCCCCTGTTCCCCGCACCAGGCATCTCTTCACTCATTTACATTTATCTTAGTGTTTGCAAGAATTGTGCAGATGCCCTGTGCTCTTCTCACATTTCAGGCTTCTTTTGTTGTTAGTGTTGTTGTTGTTTATTCAAAATAAATGATTTCTTCCCTACATAGTGTCAAGAACTATGCTTGGTGGTGCTGATTCATAGATGTAAAATAAATAAATAAAAATAAACACAGAAATCCATAGGCCTTCATGGACATATAGACAGGGTCTCAACACCTAAAGGCACCCAGCGGCTACCCTGGTCATACTGATGAGGGCAAAGGACAGGGTGAAACAGAGCCTTCTTGCTCTAGTTTTTCTATGCTTGGTAGAACCTAAATG